TTCATTCATTCATTCATTCATCATTCATCATCATCATCATCATCATCATCATCATCATCATCATCATCATCATCGTTCGCTACAATAAAGAGTGGGATTTGTGCTGACTTTACGTGGGTTTTTTTGTTGTAATTTTAGCATAATTTTAATTTTTTTCTTAGGTGGAAACAAGGGAAGGGGTGCACTTCTTGTTGTTTAAAATAAAATCAGATAATTTTGCTTAACTGATAAGCTATCGTCTTTGGCCTCGTAGATCTAGCTTCTGCAGACCACAAAGTGCTGAATCGACTAGAACTTTTTTTTTAAAGTGACTGAGAAAATGAAGTGGCTGAGACAACCTTCGACAGAGATAAACATGCGCCGACTCGTGGCTCGCCCTCCCCCCCCCCCTCCTTCCCCCTCCTCCACCCAGCTCGCCACTCACGTGGCCCCCATCCGAGCCCCATGTGGTCTGGTAAAAGTAAAAATAGATAGCATTTGTATAGCGCAAATCCCCGCTCAACAGCAAGCTCTATGCGCTTCACAATCTATACTATTACCCCAGCAGACCTGAGAGCATTCTGAAACAACCTCAACTTCCTAGGAAGTATACAGTGCAAGCAGCCATTTATAAGCGCTAAAACACTAACATACTGAAAAGATCTTTCGCTGTCTATGGCCGGGTACCCATTCCCACTTGGGTGAAGTGAGGAAAATTCGAGTAAAGTGACTTTCCCAAGGACACAACGTCAGGCCCGCAACCTCACGATTACGAGTCCGGTAGTCTAACCACTAGACCACCGACAACATCACGATTACGAGCCCGGTAGTCTAACCACTAGACCACCGACAACCTCACGATTAAGAGTCCGGTAGCCAAACCAGTGACTAACCACTAGACCACCGACAACCTCACGATTAAGAGTCCGGTAGCCTAACCAGTGACTAACCACTAGACCACCGACAACCTCACGATTAAGAGTCCGGTAGCCTAACCAGTGACTAACCACTAGACCACCGACAACCTCACGATTAAGAGTCTGGTAGCCTAACCAGTGACTAACCACTAGACCACCGACAACCTCACGATTAAGAGTCCGGTAGCCAAACCAGTGACTAACCACTAGACCACCGACAACCTCACGATTAAGAGTCCGGTAGCCAAACCAGTGACTAACCACTAGACCACCGACAACCTCACGATTAAGAGTCCGGTAGCCAAACCAGTGACTAACCACTAGACCACCGACAACCTCACGATTAAGAGTCCGGTAGCCAAACCAGTGACTAACCACTAGACCACCGACGCCCCAAAAGTACATCCCTGGGAAAGAACAGGTGCTGTGACAGCTGTTGCTGCTTTACGTACATGGGTTATCTGTCCTTTCAGTCAGACCACGGGCATTTCGTTATGACAACTCGCCGATTTTGTTTTGAGTTACCTGAATTAGAACTTGTTCACTTTCGTCTGGTGGTTTTTGGGTTTTTTTTTTCAAAGCAAAAAAATCTAGCTAATTTCAGCCACGCCTAGGAAACATTGCGTGGCACTTTTGCAGGCCAGCAACCAAACAATCATAAAACGACAAATGCAGTTTTTGGGACACCTGAATAGACATAAGGGTCTTGAACATCTAGCTCTCAATGGCAAAATTGAGAGCAAGCGAGGCAAGGGTAGGCCCAGAACAACATACTTAGGGAACCTAAACAAATGGGTAACTGGGAAAGATCAGGAAAATGAAGCTTTTTTTAAGAGCATCCGAGCAATGGAATGAATGGAAAACCATGATCGCCGATGTCTGCCACAGACCTTGCACTGGAGGATGATGATGAACCAAACAAAAAGATGCTTTAAAATCTTAATCCAGTAATAAAAAAGTGTCTGTTTTCCATGTATATTAAAAACCATCCTTTTCGTGCATACACAAGATCAATAAAATAAACGATTTACTGTAACCTCGTCTGCAAATTGCTCATTTTGAGAAGACGAATCCACCATGACGTCACATTTTATTGTAAGCTTTTACTTCTAGATTTCTACCCACGACTGTCTAGACGTCTCCACGTGAGTCTTGGAAAATACTCACCCCTCTGTTGGACCATGTTTCTTATACGGGGTGCCCACTTTGGCTGGATCCGGCCGATCGCTCTACTCGGTCGACTGAAACTGAAAACAAACACGTTTGTTTTTGAGGCAACCAAGTCGGGTGATCCCACCCGTGGTGGACACCCCGTATTAGGCGTTCGCTGAAGTATGATGTTTAAGAAAATATGTCAACATTTTGTGTTTTAGGTGTACGCTGTAAGTCCCCTGTTGTTGTTACTTTTGTTTTTTTATTCTTCTTTTCACTCGCTTTGGGATATCTCCAAAGAAAACATGTCGGAATCTTAGTTCGGAATGAACCTTTGTGAATGAATTTTAAGATTCTGTTGGTCATCCAACTTTTAGACCCGTATGCAAAGATCTGAGAAGATTTGTATTTTATTTAGTTTTAACCGCAATCAGGCGACAATGAACAAGCTATGATCTGCAATGTTTGTTTGATTGATTGTTTTTTGTTTTTTTTAGGGGGGGGGGGAGCGGAGGGGTTGTCAGTTGTCACAGGGAATATTTTGGAGGGTGCAGGGAGGGTACAGATCTATATGGCTGATCAAAATCAAGAAGTTTAGCTTTGAATGAATCCGGGTGAAAAAAAAGTGATTTTTTACTTCCAGCATCAGGATGTCAAATTTTTTTTTTGGGGGGGGGGAGCCAAGGCCTTCTATAGGATACCAGAGAGAAGCTTTTTACATACCCCACAGATCAACCATCTGCCGCAAAGATAATTTTCAGGTACCCCCCCCCACACACACACACACACTCTCTCTGTCTCTCTCTCTCTGTCTCTCTCTCTCTCTCTCTCTTTGTCTCTCTCTCTCTCTCTCTCTCTCTCTCTGTCTCTCTCTCTCGCTGTCTCTCTCTCTCGCTGTCTCTCTCTCGCTGTCTCTCTCTCTCTCTTTGACTCTCTGTCTCTTTGTCTCTCTCTGTCTCTCTCTGTCTCTGTCTAAGTGTCTCTCTCTCTCGCTCTCTCTCTCCCTCTCTCTCTGTCTCTCTCTGTCTGTCTCTGTCTCTGTCTCTGTCTCTCTCTCTCTCTCTCTCTCTGTGTGTCTCTGTCTCTCTCTCTGTGTCTCTCTATCTCGCTGTCTCTCTCTCTCTCTCGCTGTCTCTCTCTCTCTCTCTCTCCCTCCCAAACCAGCTGTTCACACCATCTTGCAAAACGTCGTCACTCCCAACAGCACGATTTCCCACCACCAAGCTAAACAAGAACTAGCTTCTTATCGTGACAATATCCAGCGTGTTGAAAATATTGTTACCAAAAATAGGTTTTAAAAAAGAAAAAGAAAACCCCGCAGGACCAGTTGCTCTTCGCGGCTCTAAAATAACTGCAAAAAAATTCTTTTTAGATTTTTTAGTTTTAGTAAGAGTTGTACGGCACTTGCAACACAATAAGGTCACATAAGCGCCGGAGATTAGAGGTGTTACAAGAGAGTAGTAAACACAAAAAAAGGAAAGAGAGATAAAGACGATAGATGTTTGGTAGGAAAGAAGAAGCAAACCACACCAGAGCACCCGCCAACCACCCACCAAAAATTCTTTTTAAAAAAAATAAATCTTCTAAGCAATGAAAAATAATGGAAATCGTTCTACCTGCGTCTAGGGTTAAGATATATCGCTCTCTCGTCACAAGCAGAAGTTCTGAGCTCACTTCCCGTGGAGGCAGAGTTCTGTCAAGTATTTCAGTTTTCTGCTTGAGGGTTGATGTCTCTCAGCCCGCCTCCTAAACGATCTAAATCATGTCAAAAGGACGTCAAAAAACAACCCTTTTATGATAAAAAATGTGGGTGGTTGGTGGGTGCTCTTGTGTGGTTTGCTTTTGCTTTCCTATCAAATATCTATTGTCTTTATCTCTCCTCCTTCTTTTTTATGTTTGTTATTCTCTTGTAACACCTGTTATCTTCGGCACCTATATGACCTTCTTGTGTTGAAAGTGCCGTATAACTCTTACTGAAATATTTACGATTAAAAATAGAAAAGAACGGGCTCTCCTTCCATCTCTCTCCTGTCTGTTTGTCCTGCTGCTCCACTGCACTAAATTACCTGATGTGCGGTAAAGAAAAAAAATGTACTTTAATAAACTGAGCCGGTCAGAAGTTTGAGAATTTGCGGGAGAACAATGTAGGTTATCCCAGCGCCACATTTCTCTGACACCGGTGGATGACTGGAGCGTCTAGACATGATGACACCGCAGTGCAAATATTGCTCCAATCATCAAGATAACCAAAAAAAATGGAGCCTGTTGACTTAATGTTATATTTTGACCCCAGCAGAAAGTGCTCAGGGAAAAAAGACCCCCC